GGGCTCCAAGTACGTGTTCCTTGCAATTGCCTGCTCAGTATGCTTTGAATTGACAGTCTCTGTAGTGGTTTGCAACCTAGGGAGGTAGTGTAGCACTATGGAGGATGTTGATGCATTTAAGAAGTCTCATTTCTTCTTCATAGTGTGTTGGCTGATTGAGTGAATTAGTGATCTTAGGACCCTTGAAATGTGTGGTGTTGTGGACTCTCTTCCTGTCATGGACTCTTGTATCATGTTTTGAAAGTAACAGGTGCTCGAAATGTGCTTTAAAATAACGTCTCCCGTGCGAATAGGGCGAAAGTGTGTAAGGGGAGACGGGAATCCGTTCCCAATTTCCACCTACTACCTCCAGCCCCCTTACATGTCTTTCCCCCGCACGAGGCTCGAGACAACTGCTCCTGGCATGGCCGGTAAGAGCCGGGCTCCCGCAAAACCTTTGCTAGGTGGGAGCCCTCGTTTTCTGCAAAAACAGGTTGGAACCCTTGAAAAAAAAAGAGAAAAACAGAAAAAACAAGCAAAAAGAAGAAAGAAAAGGGGTTCCAACCATCTCCAAGAAGAAAATCGAGCACCTTGAAGAATGTGAGTCCATGATCTTTTGTTTGTGAGATTCTCCTCATCCACGATTCATTTGTCCTCTGTTCACTATTTGCCATGATGCTGACTCGAGACTAGTGCTCTCGCCGAAGAAGTTATGAGATGACTTGTGTGTCGGTTGACCTCATAAGTTGCTAAATGATCTAGGAAGTCCTCTACCTACGATCGAGGTTGTTTGTTGCTACAGAGGTCTGGAGAGTTGCATTGGTTTGAGATAGGTTTGCTTGGGGACAAGCAAACGGTTAAGTGTGGGGGAGTTTGATAGACCGTTAGTTACACATGTTTTTACCCCTGCTCTTACTCCGTTTGAGGTATTGATTCTCGTGTTTTAGGCCGATTTCACGCTAGGTTGTGCTTGTTTATGATATTTCAGGTCCTAGTACGTGAATGGAGGCTTGGGACCGAGTTTGGGGTCGATTGGACGAGGATCGGACGCATGGCGAGGTTCTGAGGAAGGCGCACGGGCACACCCACAACCCGCACGGCCGTGCACGTGACCAGTTTGGCCGTGCGGGATTGTGCGTGGGCACGCACGGGCACAAGTGAAATCCGCACGGCCGTGCACGTGACCAGTTTGGCCGTGCGGGATTGTGCGAGAGGACGCACGGGCACAAGTGAAATCCGCACGGCCGTGCAAAGTGCAATCCTGGCCGTGCGAGATGGCTGAAGTTCGACTTAATGGTACGCCGCGTTTTGAGGTGCACGGCCAGAATGGTGATATGCACGGCCGTGCACCCTGGCCGTGCGAGTCGGGAAATTCTGGTTTTTAAGCGGATTCCGAGCCAAACAGAGGGGGATTAGAGTTTTTGAGAGACAGAGCGGTTCCTAGAGAGAGAAAGCGACGAACAAGAGTCTCCAAGTGCCCTAGATCGATCTTCAACACCATTGGAGCTTGGTTTGAGCTTGGAGAAGTGCCGATTCAACGTCCAGGAGCAGAAATCCATCTTCACAGTATGATTTCCGCGTCTGATTCTGCTTTTGCTTCTCTCTCCATGGAGTAGTTCCCCCATTCATCTGGGTGTGGGAAACCCTAGATCTGTATGTTAGGTTTGATTGTATGAACCCAAGTATTGATTCTATGATATTGATTATATTCGATTGAGGTTTGAATGATTGAATGGCATGAATCCTGATCAAATTCCTGTTGTTTCTGCTTTAACCTAGAATGATAATATCTGCCTAGGTTGATAGAGTATCCTTAATCGAAGGTAGCGAATTGGTGACTTTAGTCGAGGAGCCAGTTCACTATTCTGTACCGAATTCCATTCGGTAGTGGAGGTTTTGTTCATAGGGCCTCAATCTGTTTACTCCGGTGTAGGTTAGTCGCCAGCTAGAGACTCAGATTGAGAGGGTCTGAAGACCTTTAGTCGAGACTTCAGACTGTTTGAGAACCTTCCGCAGTATAACTATCCTAGAAATCGAACTTGGCAATTACAATCCGGCTTAACTGCAGTCTAGGGGAAACCATATCCGGGTGACCTCTCTTAACCTGAATACAACCGTTTAGTTGTTTTGTTTGCTTGTTAGTTTAGAACTTCACTAAAGTTGCATTGCTAGATAATATGAATTCACTGAGTAGTCATCACATCTAGGACCCGGGTTGACAATAAAACCCAAACCCGCTATACTACGCTTTAGGAAGTGGTTACACTTGGCCATTTTCTAGAGTGACAGTAACAGCGAGTCAATTTTCGTCAGACGGAGGAGGAAGATTGTTGTCGGAAGGGAGGGGCTCCTGGGTTTTTTTGTGTGGTTGGGGTTAGGGATAAGTGGATGATAGGTTTAATGAAGGGAATCCGACAATTTTAATTATTTTTTTTTTGCTTTTTTTTATTTTTTAATAATTTTTCTAGGTTTTAATAGTTAAAATTCTAAATTTGAGAAATATGTGAATTTTTTTAGTTTATTTAAGCTGATTGGGTGATGACATGGCGCGTTGACCGTTAGTCAACGCGTTTGACCGTCCAAATTAACGGTCAAAAGTCGAATCTGGCCAAATTGTTTATTTTGATGTATAGTTCGGGCCAGGATGTTATAGATCAAAAAGATTGGCCAGGATGTTTATTTTGGTCAAAGTTCAGGCCATACAAAAATATTAACCCTAATGATAACTACAAATGATTTATTGTCTCTCCAACTATTTCGCATTGCTCGACCATACAATAATCATTGTGTGATATCTTACATTTTCATAAATTAGTTCACACAAGCAAGAGTTGAACCATTCACAAGAAGAAAATGTGCTTTTTATATGAAACAAGCACATATACATGTGGATTGTCAACATTCTTATGGATAATCCATTAGTTTGGTGTTTCTTTTCAAGCTATGTTATCAAATTTCATGTTTTTGATGAGATTGTTTATTTTTCAATGCCTATTTAGGATTTTAAGATGAGGTGACTCACTTGCAAATTAAAAGGAATAGATAGTAAGGTTTATCAAGCTTGTCAAAAATTGTTATAATTGTTTTCAAGTGATGCATTATGGAGATTTTCCATGTTTATCTATCTTCATTCTTCACAATATTTGAGGTCTCTTCATTTAACTAATATTAGATATTATATCTAATTTATTTCTCACGTTGGACTTATAATTTCATTGTTTGTTGAAGTAATGGGTCTTCTCATTAACTTCCCTTAGACTAAAACTTGACCAATATATAAATGACGATCGTGGAGTATATGTTTATTTTATTGGAGGTCAAGTATATCATCAAATTGGTAGTCTGATACCCACTGAAGGGAACAAATAAAATTATGCTAAATTCTACTTTCTACATGCATGACACCAACAATGAATTCCAAAACCATTTAAATTCTTTCTCCGCGCATTCCAAATACATTACATAAAAATTTATTTCTTATGCACCGGTTTATAAACCCTATAACATGAGATTTTTTGTAATGGCTTACCACTTATGTAAGACTTCTACTACTCATTACCTAAAATATTGTATTTTACGTAAGACTTATGTAAATTCTTTAATTATAAGGGTTATATTGTAGGAAAATAATTGGTTTATTGATTGTTTTTATTATAATTTAATTAATTATTTACACGGGTTTATGCAAGGGAGTAAAAAAAGATGTGTTACATTATAACGTGGGGGCAAGCAATCTTGCAAGGGTGGAGGGTTTTGGGCATATGTTGTTATATTTTCAATTGAATGGTGAATCTCAAACTAACTTGATGTTGTGAAGAAAAATGTTAAATATGACTTTTTAGTTTTCAAGTGCGAAGGATTATGATTTTTGGAGTTGCATAATGGTGAGAAACTATTCCAAGTAGGAGAAGAGGACATTCTCCTTCCTTCTCTTACAAATTGAGGTTATGGAGTGAAAATCACATAAATGACGTAATAGTAAATTAAAAATATCATTTGTGAATTCATAGTTTGAAAGATACAAAGACGAGAAATAACACATCTCCAACAATTAATGCAAATTACCTGGATAAGGTCAATTTATTTTGCGTGATAATGATGTTTTATTTTTGCATAAGTTTTGCCTTGAAATGTGCTAGCAATGAAATGAGGCAGTGGAGTCACTCATTTGGATAACAACGTTGTTGAAAGAAGGAAAGAGACATTTAACGGTGGAGATAGTACTGTCAGTGATGAAAATATTTATATTGTTAATGGTTGAGAGGATAACGTGTTGATGGTGGACTGATGGTAAAGAAACCAAAAGAAAATTGCTATAATGTGTGACAAAGCATAGTGAAATGAAGTGTAATTCGAGTAATTTTTATAGAATCCATATTCCTTGCTTTAGTCTTGGTTTTAGTTTCAATAAGGACTTTCGTAGATGACTCGGTAAAATTATTGAAAAACACTATGTTCTATGTAAAAATTTTAGTTTTCAAGTAATTGAATATTTGGTATTCTTTTACTGTCACAAATCAAAATATATATTACTTAGTACAATTAGTAACTTTTATGTATATATATTCACGTAAACATAAAAAGAATGAACTTTGAGAGAAAATTGACATCATCACAAAAAAGAGAAGAATATAAACTCAAAACTTTAGTAGTTATCATTATCAAATTCCAACAAGAGGACAACTTAGATGAGAGAAAGCCTAAGACAATTTTTGTTATAATTTGTAATGCAAAGTAGTTAAATAAAGTGTGGTTATATAATTTTTGTGGGATTTGGCTCCTTTGCATTATTGTATGGTTTAAAATGCTGAAAAAACTTAAATGATGTAGCTTCCTTTTCAATATTTTAGTATTTCAATAATTTATATTCCATATGGTACCAGTAAAAGAAAATTTTAATTTATACAACTATTATTGTTGTTTATACTATTGATGAAATGTATCCGAATCTAGTGATGGTTATAAATATTCATTTTCTTATAGATTAAAAGTTTTACGACCCTGATTCAATGAAAAAATTTACGAGCCTAAATTTTTAAACCCCTCCAAATTTCTTGCTCCGTCATTGTTCACATAACTCTAGGGTTTTAGATAAGCTACAACATATACATAGCATTACAGCCTATAAAGTATAAACTGTATTATACAACATCAGTGTTCATTCCTAGACTTCTGCTTACAGTCTATTAGTATGCACTGTTTGTCCCACTAATGTAAGACGAGACACTACTTTGTACGAGAGCACACCATCTTTTACTAGCCAAGTACAAGCGATCAGATGCACCAGTTTTTTCCTTTTTCTTACAGCTTGTAGAAATTGGTGAGGGTTCTGCCATCCAACTCTTTGGTGAAGAACCTTCTCATGTAGTCTAACTTGGTGAATTCCCGGTAGACGGCAGGTTTCTCAGGCGAGATCAGCTCCGGGATCGGTCCCAGAACGGACTCCTGCTCATCAGAATTGAAGAACACAGCGACCGAGACCCGTGGCTCCATGGTTGGATTCGCCAGCACCCTGTGCTCCACGCTCTTGTACTCGTCGTTCGACATTATCTACAGGTTGAGTTGAAAACCAAGTTACAAAACGAAACCACCAAACAACGAATCATTCATTCACCAACAACAAGTGTAATTTCAGGCGCAGCCCATTACCTGCAAAAGATCTCCAATGTTGACGACAAGAGCCCCTCTAACAGGCACGACATCAACCCATTGCTCGCCAAACTTGACCTGGAGCCCCCCGACCTGATCCTGGAGGAGCAGGGTCAATGCTCCTGGATCTGTGTGGGATGCAATCCCTACAGTTAGATCAGGCTGCGGGCAGTAAGGGTAGTAATGACCCACCATCACTCTGGATTCCAAGAACCTCCTCTCCTTCAAAGCCCCTGAGTTCACTCCTAGCCCTTCGCACAAGAGCTCCATCAGCAATCCCCCGACCTGTTTCGCCCTCTGATTCCATTCCACCACCTCTTCCCTGCATATGGCAGGGATTTCCTCTAGCTCTGGTAAAGTGGGTCCTAACCTCATCTGGAGTGTGTCTCTGGGGAAAAAACAATGAAACCGATCTTTAACACGGGACACAATTCGAGCCAATGTAGTCTAAATCGCGTTTTAAAACTTATGAACTTAACGCTTCTATGTGGAATCACGTTTTTCCTAACTAGTGTAGTCACAATTGCGTTTTAAAAAGCTTACGCTTTTATCCTTCTACATCACCAAAAAGCTTCTACTATAAACGCGCGATTTTGACTATATCTATTCGAACTCACAATCACAAGTTCTGATGCCATACTTCTATCAACAGTTTTCCCTTCTCAGTAAACGAAACAATTGGAACCGAACAAACCATTTCAATCGGAGATTAATACGAAGGGAAATGAATTCGATCGTGTTACCTCCAGCTAGCGGCTTTGGAATGAAACAAGTCGATGTTGGAAAAGAAGGAAACCCCAGTCCCGGGTTCCCTTCTATACAGCTTCGCCTTCTCCTCCGTCGGCTGCTCGTGAAACCCCCTGACGGCGCCGACGAATCGGTCCAAGAATTCCACTGGGATCCCGTGATTGACGACCTGGAAGAATCCGAGCTCGCGACAGGCGCCCGAGATTTGCGCCGCGATCTTCGCCCTCGCGTCCTGGCGGTCGACGCCGGAGAGGTCGATCGTCGGGATGACGTCGGGTCGGGCGCCCGGGTTGGGGTCCGGCTTGAAGTTCGGGTGAACGAAGAACCGAGGGATGGAAGAGATGCCGGAGTCAACCAGACCTTTGACTCCGAGCTTCGAGTCCTCGAACTCCTGGACCTCCTTCATCCGGTCGTAGACGTCGTCGTGGAGTTGGCCGGCGGCAGCGCTGCTAATCGCGGTTGCGGTGGTTGCCATTGCGCGCGCTGTGTGGCTGTGGTTCTTACAAAGTGTGCCTAGAGAGTATTCTATGACTGGAAGGAGAGGTGGTTGTGTTGGTGGTTTCCCAAGCAAATGGTTGATGTCTTATACACGTACATTTTCCATCAATCGTTGTAAAATCCCCGCATGATGATAATAAGAAAGCTTATTCCAAATGTTGAAAATAATAATTATTATTATTTTTGTTATTGAAGTTAAATGATGTGTCTTTGATAAACTAAACTATACCGTCAGCCCGGTCGTAAAACTTGCATGTTGAAATTTAAATGGGTATAAATTTTACCGATCGAACATGATTAAACCACGATGTAATCACAAAATACCTTACCAATTCAGTACAATCTGCAATACGGGTTTACCATCCTTGAACTGAAGTGAGTAGCGTATGTCAAGAACCAGTTGATCCCAATAACTCGAGTTGTTGGGAGAAGGTTATGCTGGATCTTATATCATTCTCTAACACGCCCCCTCAAACGAAAGCCAACCCATGGGCTTGAAGTTTGCACAGGCCCACCATACCTTGTGCTTTAATCCACTGTTAATATTGGGGGTCGTGGAGATTTGAACACACGACCACTTGGCCAAACCAGCTCTGATACCATGTCAAGAACCAGTTGATCCCAATAACTCGAGTTGTTGGGAGAAGGTTATGCTGGATCTTATATCATTCTCTAACAGCGTATACGTTTTGCTAAAGTTTTTGATATGTCACATTGGCATTTGGTTTTTTCCCTTCTTCCTGAAAGAGATTTGACAATTTTTTGGGTTCTACTGCCCGCATAGTCAAAATTCAGGAATTAGGGGGTTCTTTTACAACCACAGGAGTCAATGTCATGTTAACCGGCCGACGAGCAACGTGGCGCGAGCTTGGAAGCGTCTAATTTCTCTATACCTTGATCGGTGGTGACGGTTTGCAGTTGTCGCCATTATCCTACTGCGAAAGTCCAGAGTGCTGCTAAACGAAGAGTCAAGTCTCGGCGGAGGACAGTACACCAACCGCAAATTGACGTTGAAGAGTCCAAAATGAACATCTGCACAAGTAAAAACAACATCGAATTTACAACCGGTAGATTTGAATGTGCAAAATAGATGGTAAGAGAAGGAAATGAATGCCAACCTTCATATAAGCTGATCATGGAAGAACAAGATGATGGTGGGTTCAGCCCAGAGCTGCAGACTAAAACACAGTAGACCTAGTACCAAAGTTTATACCATTGCACATGTTGAAAGACAACAGGCTGTTTCTGCTACTTTGCATTGTAACGAATAGAACAAGAAAAGAGCCCGAAATTTTGAGGTAGTATTCATTCATTGAAGCAAGCAACCTATAAGCATAAACAAGCAAAGAAGCAGAAGAGCAACCAACCATCTGCAGGCTCAAGTAAGAGACCCTTACAATTTACAGGGTCATTCACTCATTCTCAACTCCCGTCATTGTTACAAAAATTTCTCAATTGTACAGCAGTACTGTGGTGAATTCAGATCAGCTAACTCACTCGTTAGTGTTACCACTAGGCACAAGGGCAGAGTCTCTGGGTATGAGGATGAGAACTGTCACACGAGAGCATCGACTGTGGCTTCGTGTACAAGCAAGTCCCGGGATTCAGATCTCTGGGAGCATCATCAACAACTTCAGCAGGCTGATCGCTTCCGACGCTAGCCAAACACCCTCCTTTACAACTCATATACTTCTTCATGATCTCACACTGATTGAGCACCAGAAGCTTGTTCACAATACACGACTGCCCTTGCGACGTGCAGACCAAATCACACGACTCGCCTTGCCCGCCAATCACCACATTAACCCCAATCAGCCGTGCTTCTAGCTGCGTGTGATCATCCACAGATTGATTCGAAGGCAGAGAGAAGCAATGGTGGAACTCGCTGATATAAGCATTCTCATGAACCACGCTGCCAGAGTTATGGCGGCACCTCCCTGAACAGAAATCGAACACGCTCGGGTAAGTCCCCGAAGTTGCAGTCTTGGCCATCTTCACCTTCGTTACTTCATCAACAAGTGTTGTGGAAGGATTCAGGCAGCAAGAAACGCAATATTCATAGGAATTGCAACATTGCGAGAGAAGATTGCACCCTTTACAGGGGAACCTCTCTCCTTTCATGGGGCAACATCGGGATTGGGGATCAAGCGATAGAGCATCACATACACGGCCATTCTCGTCTGAAAGTAGATACCTTCCTTGAACAGTAGTTCTACAAAGCTGATTTCCCAGGAAGCCAATGTTTTTCCTTATGGCTGAAACTCTGGGTGGGAGATGGAGAACCAGCAAACACCAGAAAATCAATCCACGTATATACATCCTATATGGGTTTCAAACATTCAATGTGTTGACGCGATTGGAGAGATAGCGAAAGTTTATCAGCTAAGTCAGACAATTCATCGAACAGGTTGAAGGCAGTCTAAGAAACGATCTAAGAAGCTACGAAGTTCCTTCATACGACGAGCTTCCGATTGAATCCAAGATTGGGAAGATTGAGAGGAATGGATTTCTTCCGGGTAATCAGAGATATAAACATCCGAAGGGAAAAACAATTGGCGACGAAGAAAGATGAACACTAACCCAATGGATCACGACCAGATCGGCTTCGAGTTTCAAACTTTACGCCACGTAGAAAGAAAAGCTTGCTGCCCGGAAATGAATCACAGAATCAGTACGCTTAGCTCCCAAGCTTAGAGGAATAGAGGCGTCTCCGCATATAACCAGAATGTCAACTTTGAGGACGGGAATATTAAACCGCCGGCGACGGAGGATTGAGGAAGACCCAAGACCGAAGAAGGAAATATGGCAGGCGAGGCGGAGTTTCGTTTGTTTTGTTCTATTTTTTTTTTTTCTTCGTAAACAACAGGCAGAACAATTATCATGGCTTTGACTAAAGGCCCAACTTTAAAGTGGGCTGGGCCCAGTCCATAAAGACGGATCCACGTAAGTAATATTCCAGTCAGGCCCAGCATTAGACTTGAATTGTTGACTCGAGGTAACAAAACAAAAAAGTATATTCTGATTCTGCGCCACGGAGGAAGGATGCCGGCAAGAGCGCGCTCACCGGTGTCGCAAATGAAGAAGGTGGCTGGACCACCGCCAATCTCGTCAGAAACCTAATCCGACGAAGACGCCGACGGCGAATGTGTGGATAATAACATTCACCACGGATTCAAACCTTGGAATTTATGTTTTGTCATTTTACAAAATTACAACAGAGAGAATAAGAAAAAAAAAAAAACAGATGATATATAATACAAAGCAGACGCCAGCTTAGCCTTCACTATACTAGTCATAGGTCAGCCTAAACCGCTCAGTGAAGTAATCGCCACTCCGTATAGCAGGAAACCTGCAATCACGTTCAAGATGGTAATTCAGGTAAAGAAAACTCATGCAATCGCGACGGCAAAAGCATTTGATCATTCAATCCCATACATCCACGGTTACAGCAATGAGCAAAAGGGATAAAAAGAACGAAACCGAAGAGTACCTGGGAGGACAAGACTCGCTGCAACAACTCTCTAAACACTCGACAATGCAATCTGGATTAGGATCCATGAAGAACGCCATCTGCCATATGATAACAACTGAAACACATGAAGAGCATGGCAGCAGTACCTTTGACAAAATAGAAAAAAAAAAAAAAAAATCCAACCATAGAACCTCCAGCTCAAATTGGCATAAAGATAAATCGAAAAACGCAGCCTATGGCTTATATTCAGTAAACACAAGCTATTAAACTCACCGAGTAGCGTTCTTGTCCAGTTGGCATCACTCGATGCAGGGTGGACCTGCAAACATTTAGCCAAATCTGTTGTTATAAAGGGGGAAGGGAAGGATTGCCCTTTCGAGTTCACATGAAAGGAGGAAGGAAAATTACCGGAACAAGCAGTTTGTCCACCTCTCCATCATGTCTCCGATGTTAACGATGAAGCACCTGGGATTAGAGATGCATTAACAAAATGATAGGAGTAAAGCTCAAGCAAGGAAGCTGCATTGCAAGCACGTTATAGTAGGAAACCAGGAGTATCAGATAGGCTTGAACTAAAGCATACAATAGCATTCAACTTGTTTCACTTATCACGAACTTTGTTGTTTTCATACAGAAGGGAATGGATATACTAAAGAGACACTGCTCAACCTAAATACCACACCTTTCACAATACTGAAGCACAGATTCTTTTAGCAATTGTGAACTCACCCATGTATCTGTGGTACATCTTCCCAGACCCTAGGTTGTCTCCACTTCTCCCTACAAACCTGCTATCAGGCAGAGCCCTGTAAGATGGCTATCAACATTCAAATTCATGGAAATCACATTCACACCATTAGTTAACCATGACCGTAGTTCATGATTCAGCATTAATTGTTAGAATCAAACTTGATGCATCAGTTAACACATGCCTGGAGTCCTGCTACACCATCAGTTAAGAGTAAAGTGGTCATTCCATAGTCTGAATGTGCAGAAGCACCATATATTGGTTCTTCATCAGAAGAACCCAGTTCACCTGACATCAGATTAATGAGCAATAACAAGGATAAGCTTCCCTTTCAGCTTCTTTAGTTTTTATTTTTCTTGTTCCATAGAATTCGAAGGACCAAGAAAGCTTATAGTTATAGACATGCAATCGAGGAAGTACACTTATGAAAAAGATATTCTACCAGGATAATGTAAGAGACGAAGAAAGCCTTCCGGATCATCCAGGGCTCCGACCTTGACAAAGTAATCTTCATCCAATTTCAAAGCCAGAGCAATCAAGGAGATTAGTCTTCTTGCAGCTGACCTGAGGCAGTAATCAGCAGCAGGTAAACTACTCACACCTTCCAGTCCAAAGGAACAGACTCTTGCAAGCATGAAGATATTCATTCGGAACTGATTAACAATATCATGACTTACATGACCTTTCCATGATAAGACTCCATTGTCGACCTCCATGAAGGAAGAACTTCTGAAATTTCCTCATCCAAACAACAACGGGAGTAATGTTGCACACAGCTCAATTCAAAAGTACTAGCGGAAACATTGGGGAATGATTACAGTACCTGGAGAAGGCCACTGGTTCAGCTCCGCTTTGTTGCCGGAACCACGTACAGGACCAACGTAGAAAGCTTCCTTCGAGTCACCTGATTCAGAATAGCCCTAACAAAAAAATCACAAAGCAGCAAAACGAACGCCAACGATGGCGGAATTAACCGCCGATCAACAAGAACCTTTGGAACTGGAGTCCGGATCGAGATTCTCGGCGTACAACGGAGAGTAGCCTCTGTGTTCCTTGCGAGGCAGCTTCATTTTCTCGTCCAGCGGAAGCGAGAAGAACTTGCGGCTCTCCTCGAACGCCATCTCGATCAGTTCTTCTTCCACTCCGTGATTCGCGAGGTAGAAGAAGCCGTAGTCGACGCATGCCTGAGAAGAAGAATCCAGCAAGCAATTAAGAGAATCAGGGAGATGGAGAGAGTGGTTAAAGTGGAGTCAAAAGACGATTTCGAAACCTGACGGATTGAATTGGCAGTGGATAAGCGATCGGGAGAAGAGAGGTCTATGACCGGGAGCTTCGCCGTGGATACTGTCATCGTCTAGCGGCGGCCGTCGAATTTATCATGAAAAAGGATAAGATGGGGGGAAACCCGGTCAAAGGGCCTTTTATAGCTGACTCTACAAGACTACAAGCTTAGGCTGCTAATCACTATTTGTTATTTTTATAATGACGAGAAATGCATTAAGAAACAAGAAATAAGAACAAGATGCAAGCGAATATACAAAGGATAAACAAGGTACAAGAGGAGGAGAAGAAAGGAGCAAGCAGGCTAATCACTACTACAACGGTAATAACTGTCCATCAAAATAACAAGTTAACAACCAATGGACAGCTAAGCTAGGCTATGTACAGTAAATCTGGAAATTGGTTCAAGCGCTAAACGACTGCATTTTGACCCAGCTTCTTGTGGAAGTTGACAATTTCATATGTTTACTTATTTCATTAGGCTTTGTTTAGTATTAATTTTGAGAATAAGATGAAAGTAGAAAAATTATTAGAGGAATAAAGTGACATGATGAGTTGTGAGAAAATGGAGAGAAAAATATGTAAAAGGTGAGTACTGAGATTTGGTCATAGAATCTTTTGAATGACATTATTACAATAAGGATATGATCTAAAAAAAACTTTTGGAAACAATAAGGGAACTATTTAAAGTTGTTTCACAATGTTTTAGAAATTCTACCAAACCGTCTGGTTCAACCAGAAATATGGATATCAGACCTCAAACGATGGGCGATTTTAGCAGGAGGTTCAACAAAGATTATAGTACAAAATATTCTTCCACTAACTTTTCCAGAATAACTTTTAATACGATTTCACAATAATTGTTGTTTTCAGTTAATTTATGTTGTGTTGCCAACTTCTGTTGGCACGACAACATATAAAAACAAAACCACATGTGATTTCAACTGTGAAAACGGAAAAGGAAAATAATACGAAAACAGAAAACTGAAACGAAGATTTTACTAAACAGGGTATTAGTTGCTTACGAGGATTGTACATTTTGAAATTGTTAGCAGAGGAAGGATTGTTCGGTCAAGTTCGATAGCAATTGATTCTTACCTGTTAATCCACCCACAATCGACCCCACTCATTATGTTGTGGGTGATTCATATAAATGTGTATGCTTTCTAAAATAGACTCGCTAAAGTTTGGGTGAGTGCGGGTGATCTAAAGTTTCAAATGTATATTATAAACCCACCAACCGCCCAACATCTGTAATCACACAACCCAACCCAATCTACCCACAAGTAAATGTTGGGTGGTTATGGTCATTTTTTCCTTAATTTACCACGTAATTACTGGGTTCAAACCCACCCAAATTGACATCAAACCACCCATTGCTTACCCATACTGAATTAGACGCAGGTTACTGTAGCAATGGTCAACGTTGATTCGGTTTGAACCACCGGTCCAGGTAAGTTCTTCTGCAACTAAGTCACCCGTTCTATCTTGACCAGTTCAATTTGAATTGCCACAAGACCAGATTGAAATTAAAGGGAAGAGGACTAAAACTGGATCGAAAAACGCATCAGACTCGATTGCGTTGCATCTAAATTTTTCAGTAAGATAGAATTTTTGAATCGAAATGAAAAGTCTTGAATTATTGAAACTGAATCGAGCCATATTGATCTGAAATATCATAATAACTGCACATACATGTTAAAATACAGTAGGATCCTTCTTTTGATTGGCAGAGAAATGGTTTCCCAAGGCACCATTGAGACATTTGATATCACAACCATGAACCCAAATCCAGAAAGCAAAGACATTGAGCAACTGGAATTTACACCAAAGAGTGTCTTAATGGCATGATCAAGGAATCCAAAGTCTCCAGCTCCCCGCAATGCTTACACTTGAGCTACATAGTCACCGCTAAGGTCAGATTCCAGTTCCAAGGAACCTCCCAAATCATCCGACGTCCCAGCACCACTGCCAGTAGCTTGCTCGCCGCCAGCTTTGGCACCTTTCCCTGGTACCTTCGCCTCTTCGATGATACGCATTATCTCCTCCACGCTCTGAGCTGGTTGCTCACAGCCTCCTGCTTCGCTGAAGTTAGTCTTCTCAATCTCGACCAGTTCCTTGGGCAAGTTCTTGAGGAACCAAGGTAGCTGTTTTATCTCCGGAATGGTGATCCTCTTATGTAGGGAGATTTTCAAATGGTTAGTTTGGTTGCGAATGGAACCAATCAAAGCAATAAAATCAAATCAAATACATGGAACATCATAACCAAACCAAACCGAGTGCATCCACACAAGACCAAACTTAACAACATTTCCAGGAAGCGAATGAGTAAACCAGTACCTTTGCAGGATTGGCTACAAAAATACGAGAAAGGAGGTGCTTGCAGTCTGCAGAAACGCGTACATAATCGGGGATAGAGTACTGGACACTCATTATTCTCTGTGATTATCACACAGAAAGATTTTAGCTAACCGTGCAACAAGTTGGATAGAGATAATATGAAGAATACTTCTCTACCACAAAGGGTTGTACTTAATAACTCACCCCAATGGTCTTGCGGAAGTTCCTTGGATCATCAGGATCCTCAAAAGGGTATCCTCCGACAAGCATCACGTAGAGCGTCACACCACATGACCAAACGTCTGCAATCTAAAAATGATAAACCATCAAACTAACAGGGGAAATAGGAAGTGAATGATCTGCTGTTTCAACCATCACTTCAGCTTCTTTCATCTCCCTTTGATTTCTTATTTTTCGGCAGTACATATTGTCAATGTAAAGCTAGGATGAAGGTGGAGTAGCAGATTCCCTACAAAGCTACGGTTTATGTCCATAACAAAGTCATAATATATATATCCAATACCTTCCCATCATACTCCTTCCGTGATAGGACTTCCGGGGCGATATATGCTGGAGTTCCCACAGTCGACTTGGGTTGTGAATGCAATAGACCAGACTGAGACACGAAGACTGAGGAGTAAGAGAATGAAGCTCGGATTAAATAAAAAGAACCGAATGGGGGAAAATAATCACACAAAGCTAACCTTTGAGTAACCAAAGTCACATATTTTAAGACGGGGACTAGGGCTTCCATCCAGAAGCGTGTTCTCAAGTTTCAGATCCCTGTGACATATCTCCTGCAAAGTGGAAAACATATCAGAGAATTATATATAGAAACGAAAAGGGCATTGTCTATTTTTTACCCAAACCTTTTTCAGATTCTTTTATTTTAACCAAACCTATAGAAATTCTATTTATTATCCAAACGTATTCTAATTTATCAAAGTCTGGGCATTCATTCTGTTACCGTTACTTATTTCGTCCACTTGAGAGGTGAGATTTTGTTTTGTTTTTTTATAATCTTTTTATTAAAAATGGTAAATGATGGTATTCTGACCGCCACGTAGGAAGTCAACTCATTATGGTCATACTTAGTCAGCATTACTAACAGAAAAGTTGACGGAGAGTTAACGTTTGGATAATTTTTAGGAATTCAAAAGGTTTGGTTAAAATAAAAGAATCTGAAAAAGGTTTGGGTAAAAAATAGACATTGCCCAAACGAAAATGCAGTTGAAGGTTTCTGGTAAACTACCATGGAGTGGCAGTAGCTGACTCCAGATATTAGCTGCTGGAAGAAAAATCTAGCCTGCATGAAAAGGATAGGACAGAATGTAAGAACTAAGAAGACGTGCTGAAGAAAGTAAAATGTAGCTACGGTCTACCACTTTTTGACAAAAACCTCATCTTCGCTGAAACGTCCAGCACTGCATATCTTTGCAAACAGTTCTCCGCCGGCTGCATATTCCATGACGATGGCCAGATGTGTTGGAGTCAGCCAAACCTGCAGGTTAGAGCACTTTTCTGCTCATACAGAACTTGAAAGAAAGAAGTCATTTGAGTTTTTGAGACCACAAGTAATATTTCCATAATGTACCCTAGCATAATGTCTGTGCAGATAGAAATACAGCCTGGTGCTAAGTGTGAAAAACAATTCATGGTTGCAATAGGTAAAGATCAAAGCCAGGTAAAAGTCGTGTAGCTGTGCAGTAAATCTAACTATCATCACACAACAACCACAAACTTGGATGTCATCTGAGAAGTTATAGGCTTACCTCTTTGAACCTCACGATATTTGGATGCCTCAAAGACCTGTGGTTGATGATTTCTCTCTGGACATGCTCATCAATCTGAAACCATAAGCAAAGCACTCCAGTTTAATGTTTTACATCTCAAATTAGCTCAACTAGACATGAAAGCGGGAAACTTGGCAGTATGACTACACGAACAAACATAACAAGGTCATATTTGGAAGCCGAATTAGGTAAGGAAATGCAATATCAGGTCAAATTTCAGAAAACAAGACATCATCAAATAATCTCGAATTGAAAGTCTTAATTGGGCTAATGTTAGGAAATGCAATATCAGGTCAAATGCAATATCAGGTTAGGAAATGCAATATCAGGTCAAATGTTAAAACAGTTATTGAAAAAATGCTTAAGCTGTTTGCAGGATAAGAACCATTGATTTCGTAGATAAGGCAATAAAGTACTAGAAGCATACCCAGCCTAGTAAGGACGTCTACAGAAACTTTACTAACTCGAAAATCCCGAACCCTACATGATCTAGTGAGGGAATCAAGTTTTGTTCTAACCCTACCCTCTTAAGCACAAGCAGGCAGCACTATCTTAAATCAACTCATCCAGCATAATTCACCATCAGACCTCTCAAAGACGATAGCCATTTCCAATAGAAGCTCCTATATCTTGGTTCAAAAGGGTACCATACTCAACTTCCACATTGTCTAAATTTCTTCACCTATGGTGTTGAACTCGGCCACTTTTGGCCTAGGAATGATCCCACCCACCAATAAGAAAGTTCATGTCAACAAATGACTTCTACAAAAAGCATGATCATCAGAAACAACTTGGCATACTCATTTTTTTACATGATGCTAGACTTTCTTTCGCACAGTTAGAGCATATATCTCAAATCACAATGCAATGTATCTCACAGATGAAGGCACAAACCCTAATGAAATTCCTCAATCCATCTAAAACTCTGGAAGTAGATAGTTCTCAAAACACTACTGTAAACTGTGATTGTTGGAATTCCAAACATCACAAAAATCTAAGAAGCATGGGAAATGAAAGTTATCACCGTTTTCCCTCTTTCAATGTACTTCACAGCAAGAAGTTCTTTAGTCTTCCTATCTTTCACCAGCCTCGCCACGCCGAAGTTCCCTGAACCAAGCTCCTTGATAGGCTCATACCTCTCCTCCATTTGAACCCTGATCACCACTCAAAATTCCACAGCAAGAAACCCAAATTGCGGGAATGTGAGAAAACCCAGCAACAGCAACAGCAGCAGCAAGCGCTTTAAGGCATCAACAGTCTGAATATGAAACTATGAACTAAAAAGAATAATTCCAGACATTATCTTCCACCTAATCCAATTCTCAGCCTTCCCCACCCACAAAAGACAAACCCCAATTTATCAAAGCACTCATTATTAATCATTGCATAACAACTTCCTCAGTTCCTCCCCACTATTCCAATTTCCAACAACCCACTTAAGGACATTCAACTAACCTGAGCAAGTAAGCAATTAACCACGGGAAAAAAGAGAAGAAATTGGACAAAAGGAGAAAACAGAGTATAGTGGAAAGCTAGCTGTTTTGCTATGCTTACCCTTTCGAAATGGGGAAACAGGGGACGGGAGAAAATTGGTTTCTTTAGAGCCTCAAATAGAAAGAAAGAAGCCAAGTCAAGAATAATTGAGCAACAAGAGGAGGGGAAGGAAATGGGCGGCTATAATGGTGACGACTGACAAGAGAGAGGAAACCCAAATGGCAAATCTAGAATTAAGAAGTAAACAAAATAAGAGCGCTCCGAATCCCCAATGGAGAAAGAACAAAGACCACCCCAGAGAAAGAAAAAAAAAACCATTACTTGATAATTATTAAAGTATTCGTTCACCAACAAACCGACCAACTGTTTAAAGAAACACTCACCGAATACAACAGGTCAACCGAATATGCAGAGGGGCAGAATATGAAACAGAGAGCTTTTCTGCTATTTACTCTTCCTCCTAGCAGAGGCAGCAGGAGAAGCTTTTTGATTCTTCCACCACCAGCAGTAGAATGTATTGAAATTCTCTCTGTTTTGTCCATTGCTTCGGGTCGAGTAGTCTTCATAAGTCATAATTAATGAGTAGGAGAGTTCTGAAGCCATGGAACACGTACCGCCGCACACGTTTTCCAGACGAGGGTCCATTTGTCGCCAATCGCCATAGCCTCGGACAGGGGTTGCATTACAAGTAGGGCAGGGAATGTTAGTCCAACCGAACCAAGGTAGCCCTGTACCCGTGAAGTCTAGTTATTCTCCTAACATGAAGATTCGTTAGTATATACTAACTAATATCCAAAATGTACGAATTAATATCCAAGTCTGTTAAGTATCTAGATAACACAGATTAGTATTCAAAACATCAGATAACAGGTACCAACTAATATCTACAATCAACCAACTAGTATTCAATATGGATACTCTTATGTGTTATCTGGATACTAATTATGAGTTGTTTGAATACTATTCTGTGTTGTCTAGATATTAGTTTGTGAATTTAGGATAATAGTTGATTCATGGTGGATATCAGTTAGCAAACTTTGAATACTAGTCTGTGTTCTCTAGATATTTTAATACTTGGATATTAGTTTATGTTTTTGGAATATCAATTACAAATCTTCAAATTAGCATATTACCTTTTCCCGTACCTGTGTTTAGGGCTGGCATTTCGGTTGCCGGTTAGCGGGTAACCGTCGGTTACAACCGAAAACCGGCCGGTTACAAGCTAACCGAAAACCGACCGGTTACCTTGGCGGTCGGTGGTCGGCTGGGAAAAGGAAGGAGTCGGTTGACCGAGTAACCGACGGTGATTAACCGCGGTTATCCGATTAACCGACCCCAACCGAGACCCACCTAACCATCCCAAAATCTGTCCATTTATCTCCACCTCCACTCACCTAACCTTCCCCAAAACCCTAGATCTAAAACCAAACTCTCACCCCTTCGTCCACCTCGCCGCCGCCGCACCTCTGTCCACCTCGCCGCCGCCGTCCACCTCACCTCGCCGCCGCCGTCCCTGCACCTCGCCCTCCGCCTACTTCCCATCGCGATAAGCGCTGCGCCGCGCCGTACCTCTGCATCTCCACTCTCCGACCACGGCGACGACCCCAGCCCTCCGCTACGCCGTTCGTGTGCGCTCTCCCCTGCTTCTCTTCCTCAAATCGCCAACCGCGTCGGCTCGACGTCCGCCTCCAACTCCCCTTATTCCGAGTTACAAAAAAAAATCAGAAGGTGAAGAAGAGAGAATTGTTATGGTGGCGAAGAGAGAAGTGTTGGTGTGGTTTGGCGATGGCAGAAGGTGAAGAAGAAAAAAGTGTTGTGGTGGTTTGGCGATGGCAGAAGGTGAAGAAGAAAAAAGTGTTGTGGTGGCTTGGTCCTTTTTTTGGACGAAAATGGTGGCCTGATCTGGTGGGGGATTGAATGGAGAGAGGAAGGAGAGAGGAGGAAGGTGATAAGGTTTGAGTGGTGGGGTTTTTTTGTGTTTTTTTTTAAATAATTTTAATGATTTTTTTTTGTGAGAAGAGAGTGCTTTTTCGGGCGGGCGGCTAACCGAGTCAAAACCGATAATCGACCGGTCGGTGGTCGGCTAGCCGTAATGTCTCTCACGGTCGGTGGTGGGCAACAGAGAGGGGTGGTTCGGTTTAACCAATAACCGAGAATTCGGTTTTCGGTTAAACCGAAACCAACCGACTGACAGCCCTACCTGTGTTCCTTGCTTGGTGATAGTACGTACAGAAGCTAATAAAGTGTCGGGCCTGGTTCGGTATCTAATGAAACGTGGGCCACATATAGTCCTTCGAGGGGAACTGGGCAGGGACTGGAAGGAGAAAGGCCCAGTATGGGAAGCGAAATATTAGGCCGGGGGACATGGATTGGGCGGAAGAGAAGTGAAGGCCCATTTGTAACTTTACCTTCTCTCTCTTTTTTTTTTTCTGTTTCTCGCCGTCACAAATCGACGTTGAAGATCAAGTTGAGTGGAGGCTGAGATTGGGGATAATGACTAAACAGGAGAAAAATGGTTATTTTTTATGGGTCTCATGGCCATGGACTTATGGCTCTCCCGCCTGCTTCGAAATTGCAGGGGAAGAGCTAGGGCTGCAAATGAGCCAAGCTACTCGCGAGCAACTCGAGGCTCGAATCGGGAAAAACTCGTTCGAAACTCGATTCGTTTACTGACGAGCCAAGCTTGAGCCTAGCTATGTTCAGCTCGTGAAACTCGCGAGCTAGCTCGACTCGGTGGCTTGTTGAGCTCAACTCTTGAGTTAGCTCATTTAGAGCTCATGAGATGTCTCAACATTGTGGTTTGAGGGCCAACTTGATCACTGACTTATGGACTAATCGATCTAATTTGGACTTTCATAATTCATAGGATTGTTAAATTATATATCTCACATCATGTGAAGTTTAACATGTTGAACATGTAAGAAAATATGCCTTATTTTTAACTCTATAAAGAAATTATGTAAAAAATTATTTCGATACTATGAAATAACATGATTTGAACTAGTTAAAATTTATTAACTAAACAATATGACACCTAAAAATTATAATATAAGATTAATTAATGTTGAACATTTGATTATTTTTTATCACTACATCAATCACATGTACCATACACGACATACAAAATGAATGTATTAAATACGATCTAAGAATTTAGTAAACAAGCCTAACTCGAACTCGACTCGACTCAGCTCGTTAATAAATGGCTCGGGCTCGAGCTCAGCTCATTTGTTAACGAGTCAAGCTCAAGCTGGGGTAAAACTCGGCTCAGCTCGGCTCATTTGCAGCCCTAGGAAGAGCTTAAGGTAATTGAGAGGTGGCTCATTGGAACTGATGGATATGTGCCCACAATGACCTCGAAAAAAAACTTTATTTTCTTATGATAATATTTCCCGTCAAAATGTTCTTTGAAATTCTGGTCACAATTCTCTAAATGAAATAACTCGAGAATAAAGAGGAAGCTTACTATATTTTCTGGCATTCGCTGAAAGATCCTCATCGGCGTATGCTGTAATAAATCATTGAACTTTATTGCCTCTTCATTCAAAGGCTCTGTATATTAGATGCTAATTCTCCCATTTGATCATACCCAGTTGCCATATCTTCCATAAATGGTCGCGCATTGTTTCACTGCTCTTCTGCTGTTCTGCATTAGCTTCACATTGGTCATCTGCAGCAACAAAAAATTACTTGCATTTTGAGTACTTGAAACTGATTCTCCGTTGAAAGACCAATGTGTATACCCTAAACTCAAAAGTGCATGTGTTGCTTTATGTGAATTTGAAGTTGGATCAATGTTTAAGTTATATCAGTTTTACCTCAGAACCTTAGAATGCAGAAACAATGAACCGAAAAGGGAAGAGGCCGAAACACCTTGTCATTGTTCACATCCTCGTCGAGAACAACTCCCATCCCATGCATTCCAAACGGGACAGGGTGTAGTGGCCAATGAAGGGAAGTTACAGGGATCGGGCAAACCGAATTCAAACCGTACAAAAATTGGTTCGGACATTTTCCGAAATCGAGTTTTCTTCGATTCGAAATTAGTTGTGAAAGTAGTAGTAATACTAGAGAATGCAACGATGATCATAGTAATAATAAGGTGTTATGGTGGTGGTCCTGGTGGAAGTTATCCCAGTTGAAGTCTCCGAAACTAAGCTCCAACTGTTACACATCCCTGATGTTGCAGGGCGTTCCAGTTTGTTGTTGCTTTCTTCTGGTAAAAAAGAACAGCATCACCAGCATAAAAGATAATGTTCATCATCTTCTGGCAACCCTAACTCTTCTATTACCCCTCCAAGGGACTGTGAAACCAGCAGCAGCTCTACCAGGACTCTCTTCTCCCACTTCTTCGTCACTGGTTTCATCAGACCTCCATCTAGGCCCACCATTTATGATCTTCTTGTCGATCAAAGAAGCCTTCTTGCCACCACTGGAATACGTCAAAGGAGACGTGGGGTTAATCCATGGAACAAAGGGTGCGTTTGTTCTGTCAAAGATAAATATATAATTTTGAAGTAAAGGTTGATTTTGGAAGCTACAACAATTCACCTCATAGGGACAACATCCATGGGATCTTTTACAGAAGTCGCATCAAACCCATCTGTTTCAATTTCGGTGTAACTATCCTGTTGATGGTAGTGATGCAGGTGTCGGTTTGAAGATCTGCTCGTCCCCTTCATGGGATTTGAGACATCGTCAAATTTTAAGTTTCTGCTGATGTTGCTGCCTTGGTGGTGATTCTTCAACCCTGCTGGAGTGCCGTAATTGCCATTATCAAACCGGCGATTGGCTGTCATCGATCCACCTACGGTTGCTGGAGTTTGATGATGAAGAGATGATTTGAATGGAGGATTAGCATATTCTGAAGGTAAAACAATATAAGAAGACTTTATATTTGAGGGAACCACAAAACTGCTTGAAAAAGTCGGGTGTTCTTCTGTTGTAGCGTTGGACTTTCCAGGTGGATCGATCTCTTCATCAGGAGTAGAGCCGCAGATTCTAAGAATACCATCCTTAACCAGTTGCTGTTGAATCGGGGACAACAGCTGCATAGATTTCTCCTGTTCAAAGCATATAGTTACTTAGCACGCCGACTTGAAGCGACAATTCATTGTGGGATGATAACAAATTTAGCTGACAAAACTCAATCATGGTGATAAATATAGACAAGCTATGACAGAACTTACAACGAGTGCAGACCTCCAGTGACTTGTCGACCTCATTCTTGATAGAACTCCTTCATCAATTGAATTCATCGAGATGAAATCCTGCTCCACATGCTGAAGCTTGACATCGACTTCATATGCCTCAGTGTAACGATATCGCTGCA